GAATATTTGTCAGTTGGAGCTTGAAGAGTCTTGGCTCATTTGAACATTCCGTCAATGTAGGTCTATGGGATTTTTCCCAGTTTTAATCGTCATTTTTAGGAAAACCGTAAGTTCGATCAGTTATAAAAGATATAGCAACCCGAGTCAGACCAGTCTGAAGGTCTGGGCCGAGTTTGGTGATAATAGCTTTAAAAGTCTAGGAGGAGATACATTTTAAAATTTGGTCTCAGAAGAAGAAGAAGTTTAAATAGGATTTCAGTAAGTTGGCTTTTTCAAGCCAACTTAATTATATTTTAAAGTATATTTAAATAGAAAACTGTTATTTTAAATTCCAATAGTATTTGACAATATTACTGGCTTTTTGCTGTATTTTTGAAAAAGATATATGGAGCCTTGATGAGCAGAAGAGACTTCTTTAAAAAACATTAAAAACTTACTGTTCACAAACTTTTGAACGGCAAGGTGGCTATTTTTCATATTTTTTGAAAATGTATTTTAAATATATAAATGTATTTAAAAAAAGACATTTAAAAATATATTTTGCTCTCCATATGTCTTCAAAGACATTCATATTTGAAGAAAAACATTTTGGTGTCTATAACACGTGTGAACATATAACACACTTGAATAAAACTAAGTAATGAATTAAGCCTAAATGTAGGCTACTGTAAGATTGGAAATGTGTTTTCTTGCCCCTGAAATACATTTTGAAATATATTTTGATATTTGAGTGAGAAAGTAAATATATTTTCAATTTCAAAAATATATTTCACTGTTTACAACATATATTTAGAGTGTAATTAAAATATATTTTGGCCAGAAAGAATGTCAGTGTTTGCGGTTTGTCTTCCCCTCCTCATGTGATGGCGATGATGTGTGTCTCAATCAGGTCCAGTCATGTCTGTGTGGAGGCTGATGTGTCCTGGGTGGAGTTTCTGAACAGCGCTGTGGAGCACAACCTGGAGAAGATCCGATCCCTGCTGCTCCTCTGAGGCTCGTAGCATTTGCTCGGATAAACCAGGTTCAGTGCTTTCATTCTTCTTGCAGAAGAACTCGGACTGCAGAATGTGTTTCGATGGAGTCTGAACTTTGCCTGAGTTCCCCAGATTTCCCAAAGCTATGAATTAGTCCATCTTTCTGAACGATGCTGTAATTCATGATGTTCACAGACGCTTGACCTCTGATATGATTTCTTTATTTTGCAGTTTATTTAGTAGTGCTGTCAAAACGATTAATCGCGATTAATCGCATATAAAAAAATAAAAGTGTTTGTTTGCATAAAATATGTGTGTGCTGTGTATATTTATTATGTATATATAAATACACACACACATTACAATATATATTTTGAAATATATATACATGCATGTGTGTGTATTTATATATAC